TATTTAATAAATCTTTTTAAGCTATTAAGTTTTTTTAAAAATAAGTATTTTTCTTTTAAGTTTAATCTAAATTCTTATAAATTTTTATATTATATATTTATTTAGCTTTTAAAAGTGCGTAGGTTTTTAATGTAAAAATTTTAGCTTAAAACTATTATATTAAATATAAATATTACTTTTTTTTATTAATTATTTTTACTTTTTATAGCAGCTTATTAGGCGTTTTATTTTACTTAATATTTTTTAAGTAGTAGTATATTTTTATAATGTTTAAAACTGCTTTTTAAATCTAAGTTATTTACTATAAGTTATCTTTTACCTAGTATAGATTTTAAATTTTTTTGTTTTTATTTACTTTTATTTTCTTTAAAGTATAAAGACTTAGTTATTACATTAATAAAATATATAACTTTATTTTTTAATTAATAGTTTTTTACTATATAGATAGTTTTACTATATTTATAGCAAGTAATGTTTTTAAAAGTTTTCACTCTTTTTATTATACTTTTTTCTTATTATTATTTTTAGCTTTAACTAAAAATGTTGTATTAATATTACGTGTTTAGTTTATTTTTTTAGTATCCTTAACTTTAAGTTAAATAAAAATGCTGTAGCTTCTTTTTTAAAAAAATAGTAAATAGCTTTTTAAGTTTTTTTATAAGTAGTGTTATACTACTAAATTTGTTTTCTTTTTTTAGCTAACTTAAATAAGTTATTATAAATATAAATAGTTTTTTTCTAAAGCTATTTTAGTATATTTATAACTATACTAAACTTTATAAGTTTTTTTTTAACTTTAAGTTTAAGTTTTTAGTAGTATAGTGCTATAAGTGCATTATTATTTTAATTAGTTTTAACTATATAGTATTAAAACTTTATAGTATAGTTAATAGTAAACTTAAGCTATTTAATATATTAAATTTTATACACTACTTTATTTTTCTTATAAAATATTTTAAAAACTTAGTAAAGCTTAGTCTTAAACGCTTCTTAGTTTTTAAATAAAGTAGTATTTTTATTATTTTTAATATTATTATTTAAATACTTAGTAAGCTAAAGTATAATTTATTTATTAGCATTACTTTATATAAAAGTTATAGTATAAGTAGCTTTATTATTATTTTTAATTTTTTATTAAACTTAAAAAGTAACTTAAGTTATAAAATTTATTTTTTAAGCTTAATATATTTTTTATAGTAAGTATTAGGTTGTTTAGTTTCAATACTAATAAAAGTATTATTATTTATATTAAAAGTAAAAGTAAGCTAGTTAGTAGTACTAAAGCTAAACATTTTAAAAGTATTTATAATGTTAAAGTTTTAAAAATCTTTAGTTAAGTTTTATAAATAACTAGTAAGTAATACTAAAGTAATAAAAGTAAAAGTATAAAGTAATAACTAAATTATGTTTTTAAAAAGTAGCTTATAACTTAAAGTAAATATAAAAAGCTATAAGAGCCTTTTACTTACTAATTATATATATAAAGTTAAAATAGCTAATTACTTTTATTAGTTTAACTAATACTACTAATTAAGCAAATAACTAATTATATTATATAGTTTTTTATTATATAATAGCTAATGCAGCGTAGCTTTATAATTTTTAAAATACTTATAGTAAGTAAACATAATTTACTTTAGTATTATAAAAAGTTTATTTTTAATATTTTAAGTATTTATATTATAATTTTAATATTAGTAAAAGTAAGTGTTTAGATTTTAGTTTAAGTTATAAAGTTTTTTAAGCTAGTAAAGTATAAGAAAATACTTAATAAAGTGCTTTTAAGCAACTTAAAAGTAGTAGTAATAAATTTTTTACTTATAGCTTTTAAAAAGTAAAATAGTTTAATAAAACTATTTTTATTAAATAGCTTACTAAGCAAGCTCTACTAGTCTAAACTTAGAATTTTTACTAAAGTTTAGTTAAAGTTTTCTTATTTTAAATTATTTTATCTTTTTTATACCTAGCCTAGCTTAATTTTAAAGTAGCTAGTAAGCTTTTTTTTATTATTATTTATTAAAAAATCTTACCTATTAAAGCTACTATAACTAGCTTTATATGTTTTTTTTTACTATTACTGCTTTAAGTTTATTTTAGTTATACTTACTATTGCTTAAAAAGCTATAGTTACTTATTTTATTACTTTACTAACTACTTAATTTTATAGTTCAGTTATTATAGCTTAAAGTAAATTTTTTTTATTTTTTACTATTTTTATTTTTAAAGGTACGTATAAATATTAAAGTAAAAATAGTATTATTACTTAAAAAAAATTCTGTATATTATAGTGCTTACTTAGTATAATATATTATTAAAAATAAGTAAAGCGCTAATAATAAAGTTATTTTTTATATAGATACTAAGTAACTTTATAAAAATCTTAACTATTTAAAATTTAAAAAATATATATATATATATATAAATTCTAAAAGCTAGAGCTATACACTTATACTACTTCTATAAACTTTTTTTTATAATATTTTTTTATATTTAGTAGCTAATTAAAGTGTTTATATATTTATAAATATTTTTTTTATAGCTTAGTATTATTAAAATCCTATAGAAAAAATTTTACTACTAAACTACTTTTAAGCTAAAAGTTACTTTTAGCGTTACTATACTTATTATAGTTAAATTTTTAGTTTACTTATTATTCAAAAATATAAAGTTAATTTTAGTAGTTAAAAAACTAATTAGTATAAAATTACGCGTAGGCGTACTATAAATAGCTAGTAAAAAGCTTTATAGTAAAGTAACGTAAAATTATATAAATAAGTACTACGCTTAAATAAAAAGCATACTAAATTTAAGTAAAAATTTTATTAGTATATAGTTACTAAATAGTACTATAGTGTTTATATTTATACTTTAATAGTTACTTTTTAGTTTTATTTAACTTAAAAAAGTTTACTTTATTTAAAAGTACTGCTACTACCTTTAGCGCTAAGTTTTAAATAAAAGTAAATATAAGTAAGTTTTTTAAGCTAATGCTTATAATTATTTATTTAATAAATATAAAATTGAAAAGCTTTAGTATTTAAATAAAAGCAAGTAATAAAAGCTACTAAAAAGTAGCTAAAATCAAAGTTTTAACATTTTTACTTAGCTAGCATGTCTTTTTACTTAGTTTACTTAGCTATAAGTAAATCTTACTAGTATTAGCGCTTTATATTTAATTTTTATACGTATACTTAAATATTTACTATAAATTTTATTATTATTACTTTAGTAGCTAGTAATAGTGCTAAGTTTTTTAAAACTTTAAAATATTTCTACTAAGTTAATAAGTTAACTAAATTCTAATTTACTACTTTTTTAGCAGTTCTATAATAAAGCGTAACTAAAAGTTTAACTTTTAAGTTATAATAGTAAAACTATTATTTTTATTAATTTTATTAGCTTACTAATATATAAAAGTGTTATGTAAGTAGTTGGAAAACTAAAATTTAGTTTAAAAAAAATAGTAAAAATTTTTTAAGCTAAAGCGTTTTTGTACTACGCTATTAAAACTAAAAAAAATATAGTTTATTAAATAGTAAAGCTTACTTATTCAGTTAATTTAGCTTTATAAAATAACTATTTAAATAGCTTTAAGTTTAAAAATAAGCTAGTATATTTTATTATGTAGCAGCTAAAGCAGTAGTTTAAAAACTTTTTTAACAATACTTTTTCTTTTATACTCAAAATATATAAGCAGCTTTAAGTAAGCAAATATTTTTAAAAGTATAGAAACTTTACTAAAAGCTATAACTTAAAATTACATAAACTAGTAACTTTACTAAGCACTTAGTTTATAATTTAATAATAAAGTTTTTAGCTATTTTTTATTAAGTTAAATAGCTTAAAGCGCAGATACAGTATACTAAAAAAATAAATTAATAAAACAGCTAAAGTAAGTCTTGCTAAGTATATTAGCTTTTTTTTTAAGCTACATGCACTATGCTAACTTATATAATTTAAAAAAATATTACTTTTATAGCTCTTTAATAAAACTTTTTATATAATTTACGCAATTTTTTTTAAAACTAATAAAAAGTTTTTTAAGTTTAGAAAGCGTCTAGTTTATATAAAAAAGCTATTTAATTTTAACTTTTTTATTTATAATAGTTTAGCTTATATACTTTCCATAAACTCTAAATTTATTTACTAAAGTAAAAAATTAAAAGCTTTATAGGCGCTAGTAAAAGCACGCTTATTAAAAAATAATATTATTTTATAGTTTAAGTGCTATATATTAAAGAGAAACGCGTTAATAGTAGTAATTCTTAAACTTCTTTTAAGCTTTATTTAGCTTTTTTAAATTACTAGTAAAGATTTTTTAAATTATTATTTTTTATATAAGTGTAAAAACACCTAGTATAAAGTTTTAATAGCTAAAATACTTTTATAGAAAGTTCTTTAGCGTTAAAAGTAGTAATTAAATTATTTATATACTATATTTTATTACTTAATATTAGCTTTGCGCTAAACTTATATATTTATACTATTTATTAATATTAATATTTAGTTTATGCTAAGCTTATAAATATATAACTACTACTTAAGTAATTTTTACTAAAAGTAAGTAAAAGTAAAAAAAGTATATTATAAAAAGCTAGCACTATATATAAAAGTACTAAAAATAAAAATCTATATACACCAATAAGTGTTTACTAACTTAAAAATAATAATAAGTTAAACTAGTATCTTATATATTACTTAGTTATAAAAATAAAATAGTAAAGATTTACTTTTAGTAGCATAATTAAAGTATAAGTATAAGAATAAGTATATAGCTTAGTTTAAAAGTTTTTAAAATTTACTACTGCTAGTAAAAAAATAGCTAACTTACTTTAGCTATAACTTTACACTAATAGTAATATTTTAAAAGTTTAGTAAAAAAGTAAAAAATAATTTATAATAAAAAAAGGGTCTCGACTCGTTCGTGTGCCTTTTGCTTCTTCTTTGATACCCTAATTACGCGTTGCTTTATTGTTTTTTCCTTTCAACTATTAAACATTATGCCAGTGAGTCGCTCTTGAACATTGATTGCTGATCACACCAAGCCTGTGCAGGTGTCAGCTGCCGGGCAAGGTGCTTCACAGTAATACGCAGTGCTTCACAACAACAATCATCCTTTGCTCGCCATTCATCGCCGTTTATCGCCTTTACCTTTTAATATCCATCTTTTGCTCGCCGTTCATCGCCTTCGTCTTCCAATATCCTGTCTTCATCTCAATCGATCTCGCCCTCGCTCGTCCTTCGACATCCAGTTCAACCGCTCTCGCCCTCGCCTTCACCATCAACCTCTTCAGGTCCCACTTAGTATCACCGCGTCCAGTGCCTCCACCATCAGCCAATAACTCTTGTTCATCCAGGCAACGAACAGCACCCCTCTCGCCCATTCCAGCCACATCAGTAAAACCAACCTCAATCTGAAATGCCTTTCAAGGGGGCTTAGATTTAGGAGGAAGCTTTGTATGCGCGCGCGCTCTATAAGCCTGCGCAAGTGCGTATAATGCCTTCCTACTTACTCTTAACCCTGCATGTATATATAAAGCACCTTGTCCTCTGTTAGAATAATAATGCCCCCTACTGCCCTACTAATTAAGCCTTGTATAATTGTTTGTGTTGTCAATTTACTCCAATAGGTCCCCTCAGAAAGGTAAGCTAGATATTTGCTAGTACCGTTGTTGTAGGGCATAAAGGGGAGGGCAACTAGATTAGCAGAGTAGATGTTAATTGTAAACGTGTTTGCCATTTCAACCAATCTTAATGCCAACCCCAATTTAATTCAACCTTTAGATAGACCTGTAATAGATGGAGCCGTCCCTGTAATAGATTAGCTGATGCAGGAAGGATAAAGCTAAAGAATCTTAAGAGTTTTCTATGTGTAAGGGTGCAGCAGGCATCAGCATTGTTACAAGTTTTAGACGTCTGTTTTAGTCCTCTTATGTTGTTATGTATTCTAGTCTAGAATCTTATCTAGATTCTGTTTTTAGCATGTAGCAGTTGTGGTGCTGTTCTGCTCTAGGTGTAGTAGTTAGTTAGAGACTTAGAGTTAACCTAAGATGGGAAACTAGACTAGAAAAACTAGTCTTCTGGCGCTAGTGCCTAATTGGGGCTAGTGCCAAGAGGTGCCCTCTAATCTCTTCTTTAGGTGAAGGCAAAAATTGCATGTCTTTTTAGTTATCGCCTGTTATTTTGGTCTATTTATTGTTGTCACTCATCGCTGTGTGTAGGATCACCTTAACTCCAACTTAAAAAAAAAAAAAAAAAATAAATAATAAAAAAAGCTAAAGCATATAAAGTTAAGATTATAGTAATTAATATAAAATATAGTATAAGCTTTTATAAGCTTTTTAATATACACTAAATCTATACTAGTAAGCTATATTTAAACTTAAAGCTAAACTTACTTTAAAAGCTAAAAAATAGTTTTTAAAAATTAAAATTAGCTTTTAAAGGTAATAGCTATTTTACTATTATATAGTTATATTAGTACGCTTAGTACTTTTATAAAATTATACTAAGCTTACTTAATTATTTTACTTTATATATTAGAGCAAAGATAGTATTATTATATACTAATAACTACTATAACAAGTTTTAATTAAAATAATAGTTTTTAAAAGTATAGATTTAAAAATAATAGATAAAATAATAGTAAGTAAAATAATATTAAATAATATAGCTTAAACTTATTTTAAAAGCTAAAGGTAAAGTACTTTACATTAAAGCAAACTAAATAAGTAACTACTTTAATTATTGATATATTTTAAAGTTAATTACTTATAGTTTAGAAATATAAAATATAAACTAAAAGCTTTTTTTAACTAAGTATATATATATCTATATAGTTTAACTATAAAACTAACTAAAATAATTTTTGCTTAATTTCTTCTCTTACTATATATACAATATTTTTTAAATAATTTTATAACTAATAGCTATACTTTTTATATAGAAAATATATATTTTTTTAACTTTACTTTTTTTTTATCTACTATATTTTACGCGTTTAGCTATAGTTACCTAATAGCTTTTACAAACTTAATTATAGCTTTAACTATAGCTATATTTACTTTTTACTACTTTATTAGTTTGTTAATGCTTTATCTACTATCTTACTTACTTAAGTATTTTTTTAGTATATATAATAGCTCTTTAAATTGCTACTTATACTACTATTTTTATTATACTTTTTACTGCTTCTATTATCTATATATAAAAAAAAGTATATTATTAACTTTATACTTTTATAATTATATAGCGCAGTTTCTAAAGCTTTAATTTTATATAAATTTTTATTAAAAACCATTTTACTAGTTTATAGCTATATAAAAATAGTACATCTTTTCTAACTTACTTAAGTAAAATACTATATTAATTTTTTTAGTAACTATACTTATCTCTGCTATTTTATTTTAAAATTTTTTTTTACTATATTAGCTTTTTTTAGTACTAAATATATTAAATACTATAAAATACTTTTACGCTAAAAGTTTTTAAGCTAAAGTACTTTTACTAAATATTACTACTTATAAGTTATTTTATACTATACTATAGTCTGTATTTTTTTTAGTAGTACTACTTAGTTATTATACTTTACTAGTAAAAGCTTTTATTAATTTTTTTATTATAGTAATTTTAAGTTTTTATAAAACTAGTAAGCTTTAGTAAGCTATGTATATAATTATAAATAATAATAGAAAAGAAAAACTAGTTAGTTAAGCTTAATTTTTAAGTTATAAAGTATAAAGTAATACTTTAATAAGTAGTAAAATATTAGCATACTAATAGTACTATTTTATACTTTTTTTTAAGCATTATAAAAAAAGTTATTAAAAAAAAGCTTACTAAAAAATAATCTTCTTAAAGTTTTAGTAGTATTTCTTTTAAAATATACTTATAGTTTTTATATTAGCAATCCTTGCTAATAAGGTTTAATATTACTAATTCAATTAAATAATATTATATATATGCTCTAGCACTTAAAGCTTTATAGCTATATAATTTATAGTATACTTTTTATAAGTTTTTTTAAAGCTATCTAACTATTAAAATAATATTTTTAGCTAAAGCTTAAAAAAGAAGCAAAAAAAAATAAAAAAAAAAGAATAAAGAATATTATACAGTATTTTTAAGTTAAGTAAATAAACTTATAATTTTTTTTTAGTAATACTTATAGTAATATTTATAATTATATAGTAAATACTAATACTTGCTTTAAAAGAGATGCGCACGTAGAAGTAATAAGCTATAAAGCTATAATAAGAAAATTTGCTAGTATAAAAAAAGCTTGCTAGTATATAAAAGAGTTAAAGATTTTAAAATATAAAAGGATAATAAAGAAAACAGCATTAAATACTACTTTAGCTAATAATAATATAGCATATTATACAGTAGCTTATAAGTCAAAAAGCTATATATTAAACTTTACTAGTAGTAGGTTGTTTATATTTTATATATAACTAATAAATTTGCTAATAAAATATAGTAAAAATAAAAGTGCTTTTAAAAAAACTAATAAAGCCTTTTATACTTACTATAAATACTTTAAAATAAAAGCTTAAGCAAAAGTACTTATTAAAAATTAAAAAAAAGCTTATATAGAAGTTATATACTATATAGTAAAAAAAGATTTAGTAAAAAAATAAAGCTAAAAAATCTAAAATTAAATTTAGTAAAATTACTATTTAAAGAACTAAGTAACTATAATATTAAAAAAACAAGTAAAATATTTAGTTTGTAACTTACGCTAGCGTAATTTAAAAAGAAAATATTAGCTAATATATACTTAGCTTTATAATTTACTTTTATAGCAGCTAGCTCTTTTTATAAGTTAAAAAATATAAATAGTATATTAACTTTATATTATTATAACTTAACTTATATATTAATGTCTGCTATTTTTTCTTATAAATCTTATACTACTACTATTTAAAAGTACTTCTTATATAGTTAATGTAAAAAGAATTATTACATTATTACTTAATAGCTTAATCTATATCTATTAATAAAAATATAGTTTATTTTAATATATATAAAAACTATTACTAGCTTAGTAGCTAATATTATATAAATATTTATATAAAATTACTATACTTACTAGTACTTTTACTTAAAGTTAGTTGCTAATTTCTACTTATATATAACTTACTTATTTAATATAATTTAAGTATTTATATTACTAAATACTTATAAGCTAGAAAAACTATAAGCAAGCCTTGTATTAAGAGAACTTATATTTATAATAATATAACTAAAATACTTTTTTATTTTATAAGCTAAGCTTATAGCTACTATATTTATAGCTAATAAAAGCTTAAAATATAAAAATTTAATTTTAAAGTAGTTAGGAAACTATTAGCTACACTTACTAGTAATAGCTATAGCTAACTTTACTTACTTTATTTTAACTGTTCTACAGTAAACCTTTTAGTTATAAGTAATTATTTAAGCTTTACTTAACTATAATCTTTTAGTTAATATTTATATTTTTTTTTATATTTTACTATAATAGTAATACTCTTTTATATCTATACTATATATAATAAGTATACTATTTATATTAGTTATAACTTTACTATAATATAACTATAGCAGTATAAGTAATAGTAGATACTTAGCTAGCGTTTTAATTACCTACGTTAATTATTAACTATTTTTTAACAGTATAATAATATTATAATTTAAAGTTATATAATATTAAATAAGTGTAAGTTATTTTATTTTATAGTATTATATAAGTTATATAAAGTTAATAAAAATGTAAATAAATAAAAGCTATTTTTAACTATATAATCTATTAATAAATAAACATTATAAATTTATTTAAACTTTAACTTACTTACGCCTTTATAATAGCTAGTAATAATAGTATTTTTTTAGCACTTTTTTTGACCTTTTTTTTTTTTTAACTAAATATAAGTAGTAGTTATTTTAGCAATAATATAATATTAGCTTTATTCTTATATAATAACTAAAAATAAGTAAATAAAGCTAATATAAGCGCTTACAGATATAGCACTTATAAAAAAAAAAAAAAAAGTAGCTTAAGCTTATAAGCTAAAATAAAATAAAAATAATATATATTAGTATATAAGTTAAGTTTATAGTAAGTATTTACTAACTATAATAAAATAGCAAAGTATTAGCTTTATATTAAAAGCCTACTAAATAATAATATTTTAAGTAAAAGCTAAAAAAACTCTTTACTAGCTATACACGTAATTTAAAAGTAAGTATAAAAACTAAATAAGCTTTAAAAAGCTTTTAAGCTAAACTTTACAATAATAAATTAGCGCTTAGTAATAGTAAAAATTTAAAGTAGGTTCTACTATAAAAGCTATATATAAAAGCTATTATATATAAATTAACTATAAAATACTATTAACTTTTAAAAATATTTAAATTACTTTTAGTATATATATGTA